CTTGAAAAGTCCCTAGAAACAACCTTAAAGATAATACACATTTCTTTATTGGAGAGAAATAATAAATATTACTCCAACTATTGCCACAAAAAGTCCCAGGAAGCAATTCTAAAGTACTTTTTAGATCTGGTTCTATCTCATCATTATTATTGCAATTAACATACATGAGATTATCCTGATAAGTTTGGATATAATAGAAAGTTATTTTCTTTAGAAAGTTAAATTAAAAAAAAAAAAAACAGCTATAAACAACATTATAGTCCACAGGTATGAAATGTAAAATTAAAGTCTCTGAGTTCTTGGAAACTTGGTAACAAAAGAGAATTTTATAAGGAAGACTGTTTTTACACAGAAAAGAAGAATCACAGAAGAAGGAGGTGGCAGTACCCATTCATCCCTGCCCTGTGAGAGTCTTAGCCAAAGGATAACAAAATATTTAGTGACTATTGAGGGCCTCCCTGGTGGCGTAGGAGGTTGAGCACAGAGCTGTGAAGCTGTCAGCAGCCTCTGCAGCGCCCTTTCGATTCCTAGCCAGCCAGGGAGATTCCCACAAGGTGTGGCAGACCTCTCCTGCTTCATTTCCTGCTCCCCTCAGCAGTGTACTTTGGTCCTTCTGCCTGCTCTGCTCCCTGCTCTGTCTCTGGTGAATTCTCTTACCCTCCCACGACTCCGGCCTGTACCCTATTGCTTGTATAAATAAATAAATCTATAAAAAAGTAAAAAACGTATCACATCTCAAAAAAAATATATTTTGTGACTATTCTAGGATTTAAACAGTGGTAACCAACGGACTTTGGAAACCTTCATCCATGAGTGAGGGAATTTCCCTTGGAAGCTGAAATTATGATCTTGATGCTATTACACATGATGTATGAATTCCCCTTATCTAATTTGGTATTGGCAATTCTGTATTGATGATAGTTTCAGCCAGATAACTGAAAAAAAAAAAAAACCTTGCTATATGAATACAAACATTCCATTTATTCTAAAAGTTATATTTCTCCTGAAGAAATTGGTATTTTGGACTTGTATAACTGTTTCTTAAGTTTAGTTAAGATTTCAAATGATAATGGGGATACCATATATGATGGGTTTATCAGTGGTATATTTGCATATAGCATATTTAACATATATTTATATAGTACATACATGACATATTTAACAATTTGAAGATTGTTTGACCCACCCACAGCTGAGAGAAGAAAACACTTTTAGGTTTTTGTATATATTGTTACTTAATTTTTACATTACAAAACTCCTTATTGCAACCAGAAAAATGCAATTGGGGAAGAGACTAGAGAATAGTGTTTTTTTTTTTTTTTTTTTTTTAGGTGTGGGGTACATGGGAACTCTGTACTATGTTCTCAGTTTTGTTCTTTGGTAAATCTAAAGCTATTCAAAATTTGGTCTATTATAAATATTTATACTGAAGTACTAGGGTTTAGGACTTTAATATATTAATTTTGGGGAGTACAATTTCACCTGTAACAAAAAGTCAACCATTAGTCATATTCTTCCTTTTAAAATTCTATTCTCAGGCTTATTTCAAGATTTTCTATTTGTATTTGTCTCTTGCTGGTTTGCTGTGTACCTAGGTATGGTTTTCTTGGTATGCATTCTGTGTGGGGTTTCTTGAGCTTCTTAAGAATTCTGCTCATTCACTCAGACACTCATCATTTATTTGGAGTTCTCATGTCCAGTGCCTGCTCCGTGTGTCTAGGTTTTGTATATCCTGGTCCTTAGAGCTGACTCCTTGAATAACCCATTTTGAGGGTTTATCCCTTTCTAAGTACTCCAGGGACAGGCAATACTAACAAATCCTGGCATGTGGAAAAATTCCTATCTCCCAAAAAATTCCTATCTCCCAATGGAATTTTGCTATTATTGAATGTTTAAAATAAAATTTAATATCCTACTCTGTTACTCTAATATCTGTGCCAATCCGTGTTTGTACGCATCTACTTTGTACTATTCTACAGAGGATGGTAGCAGAATGCTGTGATTAAAAACTAGTTCTCATTTCTGAGAAACAGGGACTGAAATTCCAACTCTGCTATTTTCCAGCATTTTGGCTTTAGAAGTTATTCTATAGTATCTCCTTTATAGGGCTTTATTCTGTCTCTGGGAATATATAGGTTTGTACTATTCATCTCCTTTCTAAGTGATACCTCACTTGCTCTCACTAATGAAATATGAGCATATGCCATATGCCAGAGCTTCCAGTTGGGAAAGTGAGTTAGGAGCATGAACTATTTGCTATGATCCTTTTATCTGCCATGGTAAAACCATGTGTAGGTATGGATCTTCCATCATTCCAGGTCCTTGAATAGCTACACTGATGAGAACACCTTATTGATTGCAGTTGGCATGGAACTGATAAAAAAGAAACTACCAGGTGATAAAGCTCACATATAATGTACACTATATATCTATCCTTATATAGTCTGGTGGTAAACAGAATTCAAACTGCAACAGACTGATTCCAAAAATCATTACCCTCTCATAGTTTCCCTGAAATAAGAAGTTATTTAAGACTCTTTAATGAACACATATATGTGGGGAAAAGTGAGAAAAGTCACTAATATATGCTTTCAAGGTATTTTCAAACTTGAGAGAAAATTATACATTGAAAGACCTTGTCTTGCAGGAAAGGTTATAAAACATTTTCTTTTAAATGGCTAAGACAGTACTTGCTGCAGGAGATCAGCAAGGGAAAATGCATTTCTATCAGAGAAATCTTCGAGAATTAGAGGACAAGGAGTTTTCAAGAGAATGTGAAGGTTTCTAGAGCAACAAGCTGTAGGACTTCTACAGAAACTGAAACAGCCAAAGCTTCTGCTTGAGTCAATGCTTAGTCAATGCTTGAAATATGCTTAGGAATTATGACTTGTCCTATCAGGTTCTGTCATCCTAAGACTTCAGTCCATCCATCCTGGAAAGGAAGATAAATATGGAGCTGACTTGCATTAGGGGATAGAGGTGATGTTAGTTGACCTGGACAACCACAGGTGAGATACCCATCACAATTTTGAGATCATCCATTACATCACATTACTGTTGTAATAACTAACTGATGTATTATTAAAGTTAGGTTCTTGGTTTGTGAGATATTCGTACTTTATCTTGGTGAAGAATTTAGAGACAATCAGCTGACTCCATTGAAATTTTCCTTGGCACTGGGTAAGGTTGAATAGTCAATGGTTCTGGAGTATAAGATAGAACATTTCTCTCTGTAAAAGACTCTAATTAGCATTATGTGCAACTTAACATTTGGGAATTCATTTACCCTATACAGGTTTGCATTTTTGCACTTGAAAGCAATACAATTTTCAAAAAATATATAGAAAAATATAGGGAAATGTGGAGAAAGTCACAATCACAAAGTTTCATGGTTGAATTAATGTCCACAAAATATTTAACAAGTACCTTTCTGGCTATAATTAAGGATAAAATAATGCAAACAGTGAGTCAAGAGGGAAATATATTTCATATAATTTGGCTTCTTTTCTAAATCGGTTCAGAATAATTTCAATGTAGATTACAAATATCACAGTGACATTTTATGCATATTGAAGAAATATGAAAAAACTCAGTGTACTCACATTAGTTAATGGTAGCACATACTCCTCAAATTCAATGAAATATATAAACATATAAGATTTCAAACAATAAATAGCTGACTAATCCTCAATAATGGTCAAGTGCTTGGGGATGCATGCATGACACATTGTATATGTGTAAATGTTCACTAATAAATTTCTTGGGGAAATAAATCCTTTCATATAGGTTATAGACTTATTTGACTTACAGACATATCATAATTTGAATTTATGTCCTAGTGACTAAATTGTTTTCAAGGGCAAATATCCTCTTTCCATGAAAAAAGGAAATGAAAATTTTCAGTATCTGTTGCTGTAATTTGAAGAATTCTTGTCACCATCCCCTCCCTGCCTTAGGGGTATTCTAGTCAAATTCTAGTAGAAAATGTTTTCTCAGCTACTGAACTTATTTTAATAATGAATAATTAACGTATGCCTAGCATTACTCTAAGTATTCTTAATCCTTCACAAGAATCATGAGAATATTTAAAAAATAAATTGTATGAAATCTGAGTTCTTATCTCATATCAAGAATCCCACCTAGATGCAAATATCCCTTTCTGGCTCCCCAATACTTGTCTCTGAGGATGAAGGAGCCAATTGGAACTTGGTGCAGGATTGTTGGGACACTGGTGGTAGGGGGGAATGGATGTGAAAGTATATAGTTGTAGAGGGTAGAACCTTTCACTTTTAGGAACAGATACAAAGATGTAAATGTACTCTTACTTTACTAAACCTAATTTGGACAAACAAACAAACAAGTTCTTCCCTGCTCTTTCAAAATTTCAAAGTCATCTAAGTTGCACCAAACTCATTTAGTACTCATTGAGTATCTTGAAGCATAGAATCCATGATTTTGACTTTTAAAAATCTTCAGAAACAATTCTGATGTGCCTGTCCCTGAAGTTGCTAACCTAGAAAACCTTTGAGATCCTTCCAAATCTGACTTGCTTTTTATTTCCATCAGTTTTCTTGAAGTGCTGGGAATGAATCTCATGTCTTTATATGCAGGGCCTTGCTCATAATTGCCATTAAATAAATATGTCATGGATAAAAGAACAGATGAATGATTGAACAAAAGTTAGAACATCTCATTTCCCCCTCAGCTCTCTATATGATACTAATAATTCTTCAAAAATGGGCATAGCGGTGAATGAAATAAATATTAAATATGAAAGAGGACAGCAAGAGAGAAAACAATATGGGTAAAACAAACTCAATTATTCAATATTCTTTAGCAGAGAAGAAGAGGATATGAAGGGGAAACTATACTATGATAAAAAGTTGAAAAACTAGAATGTGCTGAATATCTTGGTATTCTATAGCTCTTGAAATCACAGAGAAAAAAGGTAATACAACAACTGTGAGAAGCTGATGAGAGACAGGGTAGAGAAATTTCAGTCACTGAAGTTGATAGGATGATCATCCTGAAAATACAGGATAATAAAGTACTTGCGTTGTTTTTCTTCTACTTTACAAAGCTGCTTAGTTACAGGAACTGTGGATGTATTCAGCATTTTACTGTTCACCTTCAGGACATGATCCATAACCATTTTAAACCTTTTTTTCAGTCTGGCATATTCTGGGGTATAAAATGATTTGGTAGCTAGAGTTTGACATCTAAAAGTATTTTAATGTTTAATTCAACAGTCCTCAGGTCTTTTACCAAAGGGGGGGCATTTTTTATTTGCTTATTTTGTTCTGTTTTATTTTGGATCAAATTCATTAACATGAATAACACACACGTGCACATTTGGTGTGGGAGAAATGTTAGTGGAATCTTTCACCAAAGAGCTTTCCTTAAAATATTCACTAACTAATGCTTCTCAAGTTAATCAAGATTATTAGTGGCACTTTTGCAGGGAATATCCAGATGTTTCTCCCAGAAAATGGCATATTATATGAATAAAAAACAAACAGTAACTCAGACTAGTGGAAAACTATGCATATTCCAATTAATTGACAATTAATTCATGGCTGCATTATATACTTTTGGGATTATGGCACTATGCAATTAATTTATTTATCATAAACTTAGTTACTTAATTCATTGATTCAGGATATTTGTAAACTCCCCCATCTACAGACATTGGTTAAGTTTTTGTTTTTTGTTTTTGTTTGTTTGTTTTTGTTGTTTTAGCAATTCCAGCAAAGCTTACTGATGGAGCAAAACAGTTGAGGAGATAAAGCAAGATGTCTACAGCTACTGAATGACTTTCTATGCATATTTGTCAAGATAATTTTCTGATATAGATTTTTCTGGGTTTTTTTCATGCATCTTCAGTTTTGTTCTTCAGCTTTCTCTCTTTTTCTTCTGCTGTCAGGAGCCAGACTGCCTGTAGACTTCTTGACTTTTGTTTCCAAATTCTTAAATCCATTAGAAAGAATAGTACTAGAAGAGAAATGGTATATCTTTACAAAAATGAGATACCATTAATCTGGGAGAAGTGTGCACATGTGTATGTGTGTGTGTGTGTAGGGTGTGCCCTTTGAGGATTTGCCAGTTTGCTGAAAATGTGGCAGCATCTCAATGAATAGTCACATACTATGCATGGAAGACTGAAAGAGCCAGCACTCCCAAGCTTTACAATTACCACACCCAAGGAAGGCACAGATGCAGCAGGCAATTGGACTTGTCAAATACAACAACGGCGTTCTCAAAGGAAATAGATGAGCAGTGACCAATTAGTCCTCTGAGGTTTGAAATTGTTTAAGATTCCATAAATTTGAGTGAGAAGAACATGATAGAAATTAGATCTTCCACTGGATTGTGGAAATTGAGAGATGACTTTGTAGTAAGAAACATAGAAGTCACTGGTAAAAAGCGCAAATGTGCCAAACAAGAAAAATGCTATAATGCTGAGTGTATGTACTCTGTACATATTCCCAGAGATGGATGAGTCTCATTGCAAACAGAAGTCATATGTGGACATGTGGTTTAGATATAGAATTACTTGAACTTTGATGACAACGCTAAGAAATGTTTACTGGTTGCTGAGTGGAGATACTGGAATTTTAAAACAAGAAAATGTGAAGATGTTTGAAATTCAGTAGACCTGCTTCCAAACACCAATGCAAGTACAGGCAGATTATTTGCTAATCTTATTCTGTGATGACAGAGACACACTGGCACCATCTTGTGATGAAACCAAAGAACAAAACTAAAGGTCAAAATAATAGACTGTCTAAGAACATGAAGGACAATGAAGTAGGAGCTCCACAGAATTAACAATCCATTTCTTAGTATGTGAAATGTTAACATATGAGGTTAACACTGGAGTGTATTTCAATAATACAATAATGACCTTATGCACTTTGTTGTAATCAGTGAATTATTAAATGGGTACATAATGATAATGCTTGTACTTTTACATTCCACAATTCTTTTTTTTTCAAACTTAATAACTACATTTCCTGAACAGCAGTCATATCTGGTTTATAAATTATATTTTCTTATCTCTATACCCTTATCTATAAAATGAGGGCTGTATAATATCAATTAATCTATTAAGTTTCCTGTGTATTTATAAATTGCCAAAGGTTAGCAATGGTGATACAAAAGTAATGATTTAACGTAGAGAAGCAAACAATTATGGTTAATTACTTCATTTATTCCTGAAGTATTTACTTGTTGCCTTTGGTTTACTAACTACTAAGTTGTAGAATTACAAATGTGAATAAGATAAACATCTTGCCCTTAAAGTGGCTGAATACAATTATGGAAGACATGAACATAAATAATCACTCAGGATACAACTCTTGTATCTAGCGGACAACTAACCATGAAGCTTTGTTGACCCAAGATTCCTTTTCATGCAAAATTAGACTGTCTCTTTTATATCTATCAAGAGTCAAAATTCTAACATTATCAAACTAGAATACTTCAATTCACAAATTTTTAATGAACAGGAGAGGGAGGGCAACTACATGGAGAGTTCTGAAAAGTAACTGGATACAATCTTTGTATCTTTTAAAGTTCATGGATTTGCTGTATCAGTAAATTCTTTTCCATTCTCAGTCATCAACCTCTATTGTTAACTGATGTTAAGAGAGTAACATAAACAAAAGTTTTTAAAGGTGGGGAAAGAGATGATACCAAAAATGTCACTTTTCCTGTTGTATTACCTTTCAACAAGCTTATTAATAATAGTTTTCTGTGAATTCATGGAGTTTTTCTAACATTAAATTTGTAAGTATTTTTATTCCCAATATAATCTTCAAGTTAGGCTTAAACATGTTTAGGACGCGTAGGATAAAAAGATCTATTACAGTTTTGAATGTCAAAACTGTAACACTATTTTGAACATTCTGGATGTTTGCCAAGTGACAAATTTTTATTTCTGTAACAATATTTTATTACTTCTATTTGCTGATACAAGCATTCATGATCTCTTAACCAGAATATTGTACCAATATGTCAGCTGGTTCCCCTACTCCATCTTGCTTCTATCCAACCTGTTCTAATTCCATGGCTCACTGTTCTGTCCACCCAGACTTACCTCCTTACTTTCTCCTCATCAGCCATGTCACCTTTTTATACATGCCAAACAACCCTCACAACAAAATAGTTTTTCCCAAAACAATGTTTTCCCTCTACACGGAAAGCTCAGGGCAATCCTCTCTTCTCCACCCTGCAAACTCATAGATTCAACATTCAGGAGTCTTACTCCAACTCTACAGATTAGGTATCATCCCCTGGATTTTCATACTAAGTTTTACTTTTCTCTGCCATAGTTGGCATTTTTCAATTATCTGTGTGTTACTGACTAATAATGCACTTCCCAACCAGATTATAATCTCCAAAAGGTTAAGACAATCATCTTTTATTCCCTGTCTCCATTTGCTGTACCAGTGTTGCCTACCACAATGTTTAGAATAGAGTGTGAACTCATTACATTTTTTTTAAAGATTTATTTATTTATGCATACAAGAACTGGGTACAGGCCAGAGGTGTGGTTGGTGAGAGGATTCACCAGAGACAGAGTGGGGAACAGAACAGGCAGACTGATCAAATAAACTGCTGAGGGGAGCAACGGGCAAGGAAGAAGAGGTCAGCTGCACCATGTGGGTTGCTCCCTGGTTGGGGATGGAACTCGTGCTGCAGTAACTGCGGATAGCTTCATAGGTTGTGCCTTAATCCCTTGCACCACCAGGGAGGCCCTGAACTCATTACATTTTTAATAAGTGAATGAATGGCTAGGACTTAATTAGAAAGGGAGGGAATTTAACATGAATGTAGGTGGTAAGGAGGGTGAATAAATAGGATGAGGAAAAAAAAATTGTTGAGTATGTACCAGGCACTGTGCCAAAAACTAGTTTCTTGCCTAACTTTTACAAAATCTGTGTTATACCAAACAGCATATTTGTGATTGGCCAGGGTCACATCTTGATTTTGACAACATTCCTCAAAACTTACTGTTTTTGAAATCAGAATATGGTCCATTCCCTCAGCCATCACACCTTCCACTGTGAAGCTTATTGGCAAATTTACTTTGGAGATGGAATCTTTTGTTCTGTTGGTAATTAGCCTGTAATAATAAAATGGTGTCCTGAATGAATGGTAGGAGTTCTACTGATTTATAACATTTTAAATTAGGCAAAATGACACTGTTCAGCATAAATCTGTTAGGATTATAATAAGGCACTCTCCCTATCCTTTACATGACTCTGAAATCATTAATTTGGCTGGATCCCTATTCTCATAGAAGACCGCTGCCCTTTTTGTTCAAGTGGAAGGAGTGATTCTATAAAATATATTCCAGTTCATCCCATTAATAATGTATATTGTAAGGAACAATCTTGTGCTGGCAGGTGTATAGAACAGTTGACCTAACAGGTCATTTCAATCTTTTATTTCTATAATTCTATGCCCCTATTCTGACAATATGAATGCTGGAACACCCAATATTTTTAAGAGCTGAATGGCTGTGAATCAGGAATTTGATGCCTGACTGGCAATATCAGTCAGCATAAAACTGCTGGAATGAGAAGGGGTTCATTTAAATGCCGGAACAAGTCTGAGGTCAACCTGGCACAGCTAGTGACCAAAGCATTTGCTAATTAAACTACTGTCTTTTAAATGGAAAGGGGAGAAGAGCCGAAGAGCCAAAGAGAGGATGAAAATGAATACTACAGCTGTACATGTAAAAACAGATGTATCTATATGAGTGTCAACTGCAATATTATTTATAACATCAAAATTATATTCTATTCAATATATCACTAGTAATAGAGTGCCATAAGAAATAAAACTACACCATACAATGAGATAGCATGTAGCAATTCAAAAAGTCAGCATATTATGTTAGAAGATCAGAGATTTAGTTTCAAATTTACCAAAGCAAGTTGAAGAACATAATGTCATTGAAATGTCAACAAAATGTAAACGTTTATATTTGAATATAAGCAACATAAAACTGAAAATTATTAGTATTGGTTAGGCAAAAGAGAGGATATGAGTGGGGATGATTGTATTTAGCCATGTTTTATATTTCCGAATTGATAATTGTGATAGCGTTCTCCTGAGTCGCACTTTGCTCCTTTTAGCAGTATATTTCAATAAATCCACCTGGTCTGTTCTCCAATATATCATATAAATGTATAATAAACATGGACTTAGAAGATATTTAAATAATAATAATATATAATAATAAAATCAAACTGTAAATCTCTGATTTTATAAAATAAATTTACAAAAGAGGAGAATATAAGGGATTGATTTGTAAATTTACAGAACTGAATAAAAGAAACAAAGACATAGATCTTGACCTTTCTGAGTCTGTCATTTATCTGTTAATTTAACTGTAACAGTTATATCACAAGATGGCTGATTGAGATACCTATGCACAATCCCAAGTAGTGAGTCTGCTAAAGAGTAAAAATCCCTTCAGTGGCATAGTTAGCTTTCCTTTCTCCTCTTTTCCCAGCTCAAATACTCAGAACCTAAAAAAGATCAGTCCCTCAGTGACTTCTACTATACTTCTGACAATTGAATGTTGGTAAAAAGATGAATTAAATGTAGGGAATGCATAATAAAACAACACAACAATTGGTGAAAAATCTCACTATTTATTTTTAATATTGTCAGCTTACATTTTTTAAAGATTTATTTATTTTTATACAAGAGCTGCGGTATAGGCTAGAGGCTCGGGAGGGTGAGAGGATTCACCAGAGACAGCGGGAAGCAGAACAGGCAGACTGACTGAAATACACCGCTGAGGTGAGCAGCGGGTGAGACAGGAGAGGTCTGCTGCACCATGTGGGTATTTCCCTGGCCGGCTGGGAATTGAACCTGCGCTGCAGAGTCTATGGACAGCTTCCAGCCTGCGCTCAACCCACTGCGCCAACGGGGAGGCCCAACATCTCTCTGTTTAAAGTATAGCAAACCACATTTGTTTCAGGACTAATTGGAAACGAAATCCCGAAAGGGAGAAGAGATGTTGGACAGATGAACTTGAAAACACAGGGATAGATGAGATCTGCATTTAGCCATGTGGCTCTATAAAAACACATATATGCAGAGAAAAGAGCCAGTATTCAGGAGCTTAGTGAGTTTCTGGCATCTGTTTCAGCTTTGCATTTGCCCTGAAAAGGATCTTGGCGGGAAGTTATATGGGAAAAGCCAGTGAATAAATTGGATCTATTCCTTAGTCATTTATCTTCAGCCCATGGTCCATCATACCAGTGCTGTGGTGCTGAGACTGCTTGCTGCTCAGAATGTAATTCATCAGCCTCACTGCAAGGACTGTGCTTGCCAAGAAAAGTGTGTGCAAAGCGCGAAGAGGAAGCCAGTAGGCTCACTTCACAGGAGTACTCTGTGATGCCTATGCCGATGCTCTGCAATCCTGGGGGAAAATGGGTGCTTTTCTTATGTTTATCATTTTAAGAATTAAGGATGAGACTGCAGCAAATTCTCATGTGGTGACTGGGATTCCCCTAAACATGGAATGAAAGCATACCCAAATCCTTGGACAATTTTTATTTCTAATATATCTCTGGGCTGTCTTTTTTCCCCTCACCCAACTTCAACTATGCTGGTTCTCATCACTCTCCAAGAGGAAGAGGCTTTATAAGGAACAGCCTCCACTAACTGCTTCAATTATGAAAGAGAATAGAAAACTTCTGCTTCTGGCCATCCTGAAAAAGTGCCAAACTGGATAAAATGTAGGAAATGGCATTTCAGCAAGGAGCACAGGACACAGATAAGTGAGGGCAGAGAGCAAACTAGGTGTGCCCAACAATTTCCCAGCTGACTGCCTGCAGACAGGTCTTAGTGGAGAGGAGCTGGAAAACAAGGCAGAGATCAGCCATCTCAAGAGGGGGATTTTGGAGTTCAGACAGACAGAGCTCTGGAGACACACAGAGGGCAACTTCAGCATTCATTCCCTAAGTACCAGCCTCTACTAAGATTTTAGGATTATTTTCTTAAATTATTGCTTATGCCGCTCATAATCGGTGTCACTAAATTCTGTCATTTTTATTGTTTTTATCAATGTATCTGTATATCATAACTGTTTATCATAATTCTGTGGCATAGTGTTGGTCTAAGTCACCATTATATTTCATCTTGATTATGACTGTAATAATTCTTTGGTTTTGTTTATGCCCAGAACTTTTGCTTTGTGTGTTTCTTTTTTGTTGTTGTTGCTTGTATTTATGCACATTCATTTTCTTTGTTTATGCACAGGTCTTAAATACTGTTTTCCAGTGGCACCTCACTGGGAGATGTTTTTTCTATATATAGCAATAAATCTCCCTCTCTGAGGGCATTCTCTTTGCTCTTAACCTATGTTATTCTGCATAACACTCACCATGTAACACATTACTGGTTTCCTATTTATTATGACAATTGCTCATTTTATTTATCTCCTTATTAGAATGTAAGTGACACAGTACCTGGGATTCTATATTTTATTTCTTACACTATCTCTAGTCCTTAGATATGCACTTGGTATACTGAGTATTCATAGTTTCTTAAATAAACAAATGAAATCAAGTTTTTAGAAAGTAAAGAGACATAGGGTTGCAATGACATTAATAGTTTTCTATTCCTACCCCCCAAAAATAGTATATAAATATATTTTATATTTTCCAACATTAACTGATTAATTTGGAGGGTTGAATTAGTTGCAGTTATTGCACCCCAGGTCAATAAAAGTGACAATTCAGGGTGATTTTTCTCAAGTTTAGAATCCAGATATCATAAAAGGAAGAAAAGAAGCCCATCAAATTGTCTCTCTTAACAAACACTAATTTGTGGACTAGGTCTCTGCCCAGCTCAGCTTCTGCCTGAACAGTTTCCATCTGCTTGGCACCATGTGGTACTCAAGCATATGCAAAACCATTTGTCATCCTGCTGTACGTAAGGAGAAACAGTGAAAAGATTAATACAATTCCTTTAACTCTGATGAAATGTATAACAGCTCAGTAATCTCACACATGCATTCTGGAAACTACCGTGCAACAACAACAACAAAATGGTTAAACTCATTTCTGGGCTGAGTGGAATATTAAAAAACAATTTGATGGAGCAAGTGTACTGAATGATGTACATGACAGTCCCCTCTAGTCTTCATTTTCTTACCCAGGCTGATAATATACATAGAAAAAAATTACATAGGAATCTCAGAAGATGTTTCTTCTGTGTTATAACATCCAGGCAAGTTAAGGTCTAGTGATCAGGCTTACCTCAGAGAAATGAGGCCATCCATACTAGGAATCAGCCAAACCACCTTGATTCCTTCTCCCTAAGAACTCCTCAAGTTTTCAAAAAAGAAAGAGAAGTTCAGGGTAACTCCAAGCTCATGAGAAATGCAAGTTTTAACTAGGTTATCTCAGATATGAAATTAGAATTTAGTGACTGATAGAAAGTGTGGTGGTAACTCTCTCAGACTAATCTCATGCTCACATTCTAACCATCTTTAATTTTTCAGGAAATAACAGAGCAAAACGTGTCTATATAATTTTGGAAGATGGAAAGCAAATAGGAATTGGCACTCAAGTAGCTGACAAAGGAAAGTGAAATGTTAGCCTGCCCGTGAGAAGCCAAGAAGATGGCTGACTAGGGTGCCTGTGTCCAGGAAAGCTAAGACATGAGAGGCAGTGGGAATCTCAAGAGAGAAAGTATGGAGGCAGGGAAGGTAACTGAGGACTGGATTAAAGGAGTACTTTTTTAATTGTATAAGGATTTTTCAGTTCTCAGTTTTCCTAGTCCTGAAGAAAATTAGAAGTATTTGGAGACTGAATCAGAGCGATTTTGCACAGAGAGACCAGGCACAACTTAGAGTACTGGTGATAATCTTAGCTGAGAACTAAGAGAATAAGTACAAGTATTTGTACACTGAATTGAGAAAATTTATGCCTTTGTCACCTGTGATTCACATAAAGCCAGCAGCTAAGTGCATCTCCTAGACCAGAAGACAAGAGCACAGATTCACCCAGCACATAGATGGGTGTCATCTAATTACTCGGTAATGAACTCCAGCTTTCAACATTTGTAGCCATTTTTCCTCACCACACAGAAGCCTTCCAATAAACTTTTCAATTCCCCTCTTTTGAATAAAATAATTTCAAGACATTTGGGAGGCAAGGCCTTAAATATTAACAAGGCAAGACTTAAAATAATAGAAAGACAGAAACTGCAAAACTACAATGTCACAGAGTTTATGAAGAACATGCCACAAGAAACTATAATTAATTTATTAAGTGAGAAAATATATTGTATATATGAAATAAGAACAGAATTCTCCAAGATTAATTATTAAAGAATTTGAAAAAATAGCTCAGAAATAAATATGAGTGTCAAAATAAGAAGTTTAACATAAGGACTAGGAAATAAATTGAATAAATTTCCATGAAAGTAAAATAAAAGCAAAATTTTATGGAAAAAAATAGCAAAATTATAAGAAAATATTGAACCACAGTGTTCAATATTTCAGTAAAAGGAAGACATTTTATTTCAAGAAAGGCATCTTTTAAAAAAAGTATACAAAAACTTGTCATAATTGTAAGAGTTGTTTCCAGACCAAAAGCCTACATTGAATGTCTCTTATATGCAAAAATGAGGCAAACCAAAGCATGTCATGAAAAGAGTTCTAAAGATCATATTTAAAATATATCTTAAAAACTTCAGAAAAAGAAAAAAAAATCTTATATAAGATCTAAGGTAGGGAATGGCAATGCATTTCTTAAATACAATACTGGCAGCTAGAATTTAGTTGAACTTTGAATTTTCCTTCAAAAAACACAAAAGAAAGTTTTTTTCCACTCTAAAATCACATTGCTAAACACATAAACCTAAACTTTTTCATACTAGCACTATCCAAAGAAATTTGTCTTTAATGACCTTTTCTCAGAAAGCTTAAACATTTTTCAATAAAGCAAAGCAAGGAGTGCATACTGACAGTACTTCAGTTGAACCTGAAGCCATTAAAGGGTGGAATCACGAAAAACAAGTGAAATTAAAAAAGGCAGTGAAACCCATATCTGCTTTGCAAAAATATGATGTGTGGACATTAACACCTATGTAGCAGAGCTTGGGGATCAAGTGGCTCTGAAGCCGGGGCCCTGCAGTGTGGACTGCAGGGCAAGACTGGCATTTCCCCACTCCTGCCTAAGCAGCGCAGTCACTGGAGAAAAAAAGTGGTGGTTTTTCCCTCCTAAGCCAAAAGTCGCTGCCTGTAGGCAGCCCCTCTCTCAGGCACCAGCCAAGTTAAATGGTCCATTCAGGAGGTATTTAGATTAGGGGACCCTAAAAGAGGCAGGCAAGTCAAAGCAGGAGCCATCTTGAGTGTCCCAGACTCCCCCCAGACTCCTGGCACTCTGTTTTGGGCCTCTAAAGAGTAGTAGAATCATCCAGCCACAGACCTCTGAAGAAAGACGCCAAAGACTTTTGCAGCGACCAAGAGGCTGAATCTGCTTCTGGTGCTGCTGCTGCCACAGCCTGAAAAGAGCACCAAAGGCCCCAGGCCTGGTGTCTCAAAGAGCTGTTGATCAGATTGTCTGGCTCCACCTTCCAGTGCTGCCTCCTTTGCTGTCTGGTCCAGTGTTCATTGCTATTCATCCCGACCTTGAGACTGTTCATGTGGGCTGCTGTGACGTTATCTCAGTGACCTCCAGCTGCCACCATGAATTGTATCTTGGCCTGATGTTTGCCGGCTGTCACATGCTCTGGGTCCTTACTGGTGGGATGGTGCCAAGTTGAATGAGTGACCTCTAGTTTGGGACTTTTGAACACTGTGGGCATTATCTAGGGTGAGCTATCCAGTCACTTGTGGTCTTAGTAACTCTTTGTTTACCCTTTTTGTTAAATAAACCCCATTATTGCTGTTCCCTGAGACTGAGTGGTCTCGCAATTGTGCATGCAGGTGAAGAACCTACAGACAATGAGTGGCCTGTCATCTGCTGGGCACTGTGCTTGGAAAGCTATAACACCTTATAGTCCTGTTTCAGTGCCAGAAATGTAGAAATAAGCAAACAAACAAAAAGAAGCAATAATAAACATCAGCCAAGATAACATCTTACAAAAAATATGTAGGTTTTTGTATTAATTACATTTTTTCTTACATCATTGTATCACCCATGAATCATCATCATATTCCCTTGTGTTCATCCCTCCCTTGTTTTGCCCCCCTTCTGCCTCCTCCTTTACCGTATGCCTCAGTTCTACGGTCAGTTTGATTTGTGGTTCAACTGTGAATAATATTCACATACCCATAAACAAACATTCATTTAGTCAAAATAGGTTGACATAAATACATTGAGACGATGATAGGGAAGGTAATAATTTTTTGAGGGTAATGGTATGTAGAAAGTTAAATTCCTACCTTTTGTATAAAATTTTAGTCAGAAACCAAAATTCTCTAATTGCAGTCTGAAAAATGTGACAGCAAACATCATAAGAAACAGTTAAAGAATATTAATATGGGTTCTTCCGGTAAACAAGAAGCAAGACTGGGTATTAGACATGTGCTATTTTGAAGTAGTTGTTATAGCTGAAGAGAGGGGAGGAGGAAAAGAGAAGAGTAAGTGAAATACACAGAACAATGTTCCAAGAGCATAACCCTGCTCCTATTTGCCCTCAAATCTTTGAGGTGATTAAAATATCCAGAGGGCCTTCCCTGGTGGTGCAGTGGTTGAGCGCTGGGCTGTGAAGCTGCCTGCAGCCTCTGCAGCACCAGTTTGATACCCGGCTGCCGGCCGAGGGTCCCACACCATGCGCAGACCTCTCCTGCCATGCCCACTGCTCCTCTCAGCACTGTATTTTGTCAGTCTGTCTGTTCTGTTCCCTGCTCTGGCTCTGGTGAATTCTCTCACCCTCCCACGCTTCTGACTGTACCCAGTGCTTGTATATATAAATGAATGAATCTTAAAAATAAAATAAAATATCCAGAGATAGAAACAAAGGTGACCAACCTTCCTGCAGGTGAGAAATTTGTGACTCCTATCCTCCTCCTTTCTTCTTCAGGTCTATGGTATTAAGAACACCCAGGAAAAAGAAACAGCTCAATGTGAATTCAACTTTTTAATGTCTTTGCTCAGTCATTCATGCTATTCTGTGTTGAAAGAACAGAGAGTGACATGAATAAACATGAACATCAAATACACAAAAGCTAATTTATGTTTGAATTGTAGATAATTATAATATATGTATTCACTGTGAACCTCAGCTTTGACAAAATATTAAAATTACTTGGGATGTTTTCTAAATCCTAGGTTGGACCCAAAAACAATCTGTGGGAGACAAACCGAGCCGCTATCAGTAGTCTAAAAGCTTTCCAGGTAATTTAAATTTGTGGGCAAATCTGAGAACACTAAAGACTAGAGGTTTGAACACAGTAGTCCTCAGACAAGGAGCATCCACATCATGAATAGGTACTTTGAAAAAATATATATAATCTCAAATCCTACACCCAGGGCTATAGCAGGAAAAGTACAGAGTCTGTCTCAACAATCTGAGTTTTAGAAGTCTTCCAGATCTAAATCACAACAAAGTTTGAGAACTCCAGCTCTTGAACCTTACTATAAAAACAGAGTCTTTGGCACCTCCCCGGTGGCGCAGCGGTTGAGCTCTGGGTTGCGAAGCTGCCCGCAGCCTTTGCAGCGCCGTTTCGATCCCCTGCTCTGGGCAAGGGTCCCACATGGCGCGCAGACCTCTCCTGCTGCCCGCTGCTCCCCTCAGCAGTGTATTTCGTCAGTCTGCCTGCTCTGCTTTCCCTCTGGCTCTGGTGAATTCTCTCACCCTCCTGCGCTTCTGACTGTACCCAGTGCATGTATAAATAAATAAATAAATATTAAAAAAAAAAAAACAGTCTTTGAACCCACAACTAGTCTCACCAACTATCCACTTCAGCCAGGGCATTCTTAGTTTCACATTTAAAGTTCCAAATTCAAGGCAAACCAGGGTTATTAGCCATCTTCAACTTCAGCATTATTTAGGTACTTGAAATAAATGAAAAACGTCAGGCTCTGCTCCAAACATCCTGAGTCCAAATCTGTACTGTAACAAGACCTACAGAACAACTTGTATATACTTAGTAATTTGAGAAGCACGGTTGTTGGACCATGGTCATGGTCTCCCAGCCTAATGCACATTAGAAGCAACTGTTGGTATTTTTTTTTAAGATTTATTTATTTATACAAGCACTGGGTAAAGTCAGAAGTGCGGGAGGGTGAGAGAATTCACCAGAGCCAGAGCGGAGAACAGAACAGGCAGACCGACGAAATACACTGGTGAGGGGAGAAGCGGGCAGCAGGAGAGGTCTGCGCCATGTGGGAATCTCGCCTGGCAACCAGGGTTCGAACCTGTGCTGCAGAGGCTGCGGGCAGCTTCGCAACCCAGCGCTCAACTGCTGCCCCACCAGGGAGGTCCACCTGCTGGTATTTTTTTTTTTTTAATTTTAATTTTATTTTTATATTCCCCATACAATTGCAACCCCCTTATTTTGACCCCAATCCCTCCTTTCCCCACCCCCCACACCCTATAGAGTGTCTATGGTTCATAGTTGTTTGTTGATTTTGATTTTTATTTTCTTATAGTTATTCTTTTTCCTGGTCTCTTATTTAAGTTTTCTAGATTTCTGCTATGAGTGAGACCATCCGGTATTTTTCTTTTTCTTTCTGGCTTATTTCACTGAGCATGATCCCTTCCAGCGCCATCCATGTTGCTGCAAATTGCATGTGTTTTATCTTTTTTGAATGCTGAGGAATATTACTCACCTACTGGTATTTTTAAAGATGTTGATGCTCAAATTTTTACCCAATACTGAATCAAATATCTGTCATGGGTTCCAGCCAGCTATGGATTCAAGACTCAGGACAGCTACAAATTCCAAATGCTACATGAAACAAGAATGAAGTACATTTTAGAAAAACTCTTCAATTTCTAGACAATTACTTTCAAATAGACATCCATAGTGCAGAAAATTCTGGCAACTATCTTTATCTACTTAGATGGTAGATACTGTGTTAGATCTGATGGCCATGAAAATGGAAAGCTTTACAAGAAGTTATCATCACTTTATCATGATTCCTTCCTGATCTATATGGCTCATGCATGAATTAGAAAGATAATCACTATTCATTACAATTATTTCCAATGTTTCTTATTTGCCTTCTTCCTTATTCTCTCTCACTCTTTGCTCTAAAGGTTTGGAGAAATTAAGAATTTTTCCATTTAGGATTCAATGTGTCATTGCTCCTCTATGGTTATAGAACTGAAAGTATCAACAAAAATTATAATGAAAAAAAAAAATCAGTGTCCAGGCTAGAGTAGATATCTAAAGACTCCTCATTACTTTAGGCTGAAATGAATCTTGAACTTTATAATGTTTTTACATTTTTTTCTTTTTTTTTAAAGATTTATTTATAAATACAAGAATTGGGGTATAGGCCAGAGTTGTGGAGGGTGAGAGGAATCACCAGAAACACAGTGGGGAACAGAACAGGCAGACTAACTGAAATACACTGCTGAGGGGAGCAGCAGGCAAGACAGGAGAGTTCTGCTGCGCCATGTGGGTAGCTCCCTGGTCGGGAATCGAATTTGTGCTGCAGAGGCTGCGGATTGCTTCATAGGTTGCGTCTTAACCCCTTGTCCCACCAGGGAGGCCACACATTATTTTATTTTCTTTTTCTTTTTTTAAATTATGGTAACATTACATTAAAACATTATGTATATTGAGGTGCACATCATTAAAAATTAGTATGTATACATATTACATTAAATTTGCTGCCATGGAACATCCAATTCTGTTCTTCACTAAGTATAAATTATTGCATTTCACCTGCACTCAATACACCACCTGAAAAAATATTGCTTGGGGAGGTGAATTTTTGAAAGCCAAATACATAAACAAGAAACCTTCATAACATATAGACATACATTACAATTTAGCTGTAAATTAGTTGTTTTGAGCATTTAATTAAAATACTATCTCACTCCCTTCTAAGCAAAATGATATTCATCTAAGAAACAGAAGTTAATAGATCAAAAAATAAGAATTTGCAATCACCCAGCTTAATCAAGCCTAAGTATTCCCATTGCCTACTAATCTACCAGAAACTGACGGGGCCATTCATTGTCGTTCAGGCATGCTGCTGAAATGACTTGCAGAGGCAGAAAGCTCAAGTTCATTACGTAAAAATAAAATTTCATCTTACCTTGTAATGAATTCATCTAATATGAATTTAAGAAACAATGTTAATACTTTGTGGTTGCAATCAGAGCCTCTATTATTTTTTCCAAAGATACATATGTTCTTTTTTTACTGAACACTTAAGATGTTTATTCTTTTATCTATGAAATGTAACACTACTATAAACCTTTTTTTCTGTTTAAAATTATACTTTTTTATTTTATATATTTTATGTCATTTTTCATTTTTGCATAATATGTGCTTTTTCATCTTGGTTGTAGTCCCCATACAATTCCCACCCCCCTTATTTTGGTCAAGATACATATGTTCTTTTGGCTTAAATAAAAGTGGCACCAATCACAATTGTAACTTATCAACACATCTGTTTTGCATAAGAAAATGCTCTTATCCACAAAGAAGAATTAAAAGAGCTTTTTCTCTTTAGAGAATGGGTTTTCCATTCCCATTGGGAATCATCCATAACTTCCCATCCAAAATTCTAAGCACACATATGCTTGACCTCTAGCTGGAAATAAGAGTGTATTGAGGTGTGAAGTCAACAAGTAGAACAAAATTTTGTCTAGAGAGAAAGTGAATTATAACTCCCAGCAACCTTGGGCTCCCAGAAACCTTGGGCTAGGATTTCAGTTATCTTAGCCATTACTAAATAGTCCAGCAGCTCTGTGTAACTGACCAGATATTCAACAGTCAAAAGTTGTAGTAGGAATTTGTAGGAAGTATAGTTTTGGAATTGATGTGATGACTATCCTCACCACAGATGACACTGTTTTGTCCTGTGTGATAATCTAGATCCAAGTCATACTCTGAGACATTATCTTTGAAAGTTTAAGTACATGGGACTTGGGGTGGACTGGATACTTGAACCACCTTCATCTGCTTCAAGCCGCAAGAAGACAGCCATGCAGTACTATATTGACCACGGATACTCCTTTTCCTTGCTTTTCTCTTTTACAGCATCACCAAAACACTTGTTCTATATGGCCAGCAGGTTCCTCCCTCCCTCCCTCCATTCTTCTCTCCTTCTCTCTTTCCTTCTCTCCTATGTAATTAAACAGAAGTCACTTTAAGCTTGACTTATGTAAAACTTTATCACTTTCCATGTGATTTTAAAACAATTATGTTATTTTCTTAGATTCTACATACTATTTTCTGGTCAGAGACAAATAATTTTCCATTACCACATACAACATCTATTCAAATTACTTAAAAGGTTTAAGATGCTGCCTTGAATTTCCCAGATAGTAACTTGAAAGCCTGGAATGGCATTATCTCCCAAGTATACAGTCAACTCTTTACCTTTTCAAGTGATATTGGCCTCACAAATAATGGCAAGAAAAGTGGTTCTGAAAATTCTAACAAAGTCTACAGAGCTATGGGATTCCTTTGTTCTTCATTGCCAGGATTCTAGAATACCTCCAGTATCTCTGCAGCATCTGATCTGAGATGAATTCTTAACACCCTAGGGAATGTCTAGTCCTTGGTAACAGGTTGTTCCTTATCACTTTGGGGTTGGTTCTCAAAGATTCTGAACTTTTACAATGCCATTTAAAATAGTTCTCACTTCGTGACAGCTAAATGTGATACAAAATCATACATATATCTTCTTATAGTAGCTACTGGAATATTTAACGAGAAAAAATACAGTGAATTCCAAAATTTCTCAAGCTTTGGCTATTTAAAAAAGTCTGAAATATGGCTTGGTAAGATGAAGAGAAAAATAAAGACAAATTAGGACCTCAACTTAAATTCAAACTACCAAAATTCATTATAGATTCTAAGTATATAGTATCAGGTGTATCTATTATAGGAAATAAATCTGATACCTCCAGTACATTTTACTCAAATTTGCTGATTTTTCTTAATTATATTAGGACTTGAGTGTTATTCATGCCAGATACCCCAAAAAAGGGCTTAAAATTTTTCATACAGTTAGATTTGCATATTAAATGCAATTATGCATTTCTCATGCACAAAAACTACCCTGGCTCCAATTGCCAGGTCTAACTTTTTTTTTTACTCTGTTCAGTACTGTTTTAAAATACATAACATAGGGCCTCTCCAGTGGTGCAGCGGTTGAGTGCTGGGTTGCAAAGCTGTCCTCAGCCTCTGCAGCACCAGCTAGATCCCTGCTGCCAGGCAAGGCCTCTCCTGCTGCGCCCGCTGCTCCCCTCAGCAGTGTATTTCGTTGGTCTGCCTGTTCTCTTCTCCTCTCTGGCTCTGGTGAATTCTCTCACCCTCCCCCGCTTCTGACTATACCCAGTGCTTGTATAAATAAATAAATCTTTAAAAATACATAACACAAATTATTATTCTGAAAATGTTTACATCTTATATGAACTTTAAAGTGCTGGGGAGTGTTCATTTTGGTTAAGAACAGAGAATTAGGGAGAGTCAACATAATAAAAAATTAGATTTCAGAGAAAACTAAGAAAAGAATAAAAACAAAAGCTGTGTTACTGGAATTACCTGACAAATGATTCTGACATTTCTATTTTCTTTCAACTTTGGAGTAAGTAGAAAAATGATGTGAAAAAGCTTGCCAAAATGAGATATGAGATATAGATTTTTCCCTTTGTTTTCTCATCTTACAGGAAAAACAAAAAAATAAAACAACAAGAATTGCAGAATTATTTCTGCAATTACGAGAAGTCAAACAAGGAATTGGCTAAAATATTTACCTTCCTATAACCTTTTCTATAGTAGCAGGCCAAACTCTTGAGGGAGGGTACTTGTTGAATTCCAGTCTGACTCACTAAATATCACCATTTCAGACCACCTCCATCATCATTCTGAGGCAAAATTGATGGAATGGCAAGATTCCACAAGATTGGTGGATGGTAAGGGCACAGAATATTGGTGAGGTACAAGATTATATTAGGGAAGGCAGGGGAACACTGTGGTTTACAATATGGACTTGGCAACCCAGGGGAATGGGAATCAAAAGTGACATGATACTCAACTCTCTATGTGGAACTTCTTTTTTTCATCTGTCAAAACAAAGTAATAACGGTAGTATACAGGGTGTTGTGACAACTGAATTAAAAAGTTAAAAAATGTTTAAATAACACCCAAAATTTAAGAAATGTTATACTGTTTTTAGCTATAAGATAGTCTAAGTATATATATGTGTGTGAAGTATATATATATGTGTGTGTGTGTGTATATATATATATATATATATATATATATATATATATATATATATATGACATTTCTCAGTTATGCAGAGTGAGCTGGCAATGAGGACCAATAAAACACTTTGATAAATATTACTTCCACCCTGAGAAATCAGATAAAGGTACTGAAAGAATAATCAGACTATAATCACTGGTGTTCTGATTTTCACTCTGAGCCTAGAAATGGATCTGCTTTTAGAACTGTCTACTGGCCACACATTTTAATGAACTTTTATTTTTCTAGAAACATACAGTCATCAGGCTAGGAGGTTCCACTTCCAGAGAACTATAGGAATAGGGAAGCAGAGACTGTGATAAATTGTCAGAATATTAGACTGACACTTGCAATGGCAGACACCATAGTGCTGGCTATTGATCAGGCACCCAGAGCCACAAATTAAAACACCCTAAACAAAGGAGCTGTAGGACAGCAGAAATCTTGGCAACTACTGCCATGGGGTCTGGATAAGGTGGGCTCCCATAAGTGAACAGCTGGAGGCTGAATTGGTAGTGAAGGCTAAACTGGCCCACCTGTGTGTCTATACAAAAGAGGTTCTTTTTTACAGCTGTTGGCTGTATTAACCAAAACACCTGTCTCACCCCTGCCCAGGGCCAAAGACAAGGTGCATACTCTTGTCAATAAATGTTTAGTTCATTCTTTAAAGGAAACAAAGCATAGCTTTGATTCTACCCTAACCGCAGCCCCATCCTAGTGCTACAGCTATTGAGAGAGGATTCAGAGAGGTCTGGTGGGGAGGCAATCTTCTATACAAGGACCATGTAAACTTAGAGAAACATACATCCCTTATCCATCTGTAAGGAGAACTGGAATAGCATCCAGTCAGCAGTATTAACCAGGAGCTCTCAGTTCATCCCACTCCTGACCACATCCCTGAAAAACAAAATTTATGATAAAGGAGCGACAGCCACACAATGGAAAAATAATAGTGCCTTTAACAAATGGTGCTGGGAAAACTAAACAGACACAAGTAGAAGAATAAAGGGGTCATTTTCTATTAATGCTCAAAAATAAATTCAAAATGGATTAAAAACTTAGTTATAAGACTCACAACAATAAAATACTTAGAAACAACAAATAAAACTCTTAGAAGAATACAAGATAAGTTCTGTGACCTCTGTAGAATCCCCAAAGACTTGCTTTTGGGAATTCAACCCCCATGGTAAGAGAAATAAAAGCATTACTAAACAACTGGAGCTACTTCCAATCAAACAACTTCTACACAGTGAAAGAAAATATTATCATATTAAAAAGAAATTCTACTGAACAGGACAATATATTCATATATCACATAACTGAATGGGACTAGTGGTTAATATCCAATATATAGAGAGAACTTATCTAACTGCTGTAAAACACAAATTACTTAATTAATAAATGAACAGTATATATGATAGACAATTTGCTAGTGAAGACATCCAGCAGACCAACGAATATATGAAAAAAAATGCTCTTTGTCACTTCTAATGAGGGAAGTAAAAATCACAACTGCAATGAGGTATCATCTCACACCTGTAAGAATGACATACATCAAAAAGACTTTCAACAACAAGAGGTGGAGAGGATGTGAAGAAAAAGGAACCTTAATACCCTGTATGTGAGAATGTAATTTGGAGTAGCAAGTTTGAAAAGCAGACAGGACTTAGCTCAGAAAGATAAAAATGGAATACCATATGATCTAGCAATCCTACTTTTGGATATCTATCAGAAAAACACACTCATCAACTCAAAAAATGCAATGTTCTACAAAGTTCATGATGTTAGCATTGTTTATAATAGCTAGGATTTGGGAGCAACCTAAGTGTCCACTGATAGAGGACAGGATAAAGATATGGTATATCCACATAATAAAATACTGTTCAGCTATAGGGAAAGATAAAATGCTAACATTTACAGCAAAATGGAAAGATCTTGAGGGATTATTATTCCAAGCAAAGCAAGTCAGAAATATAAAGACAAATATTGGATGATTTCACATATAGGAACAATATAAGGAAACAAAGCAGATAGATTGATAAAGCAAAATATTTGGAAGTGTGACAATGATAACAAAACTGAGGTTTCTGAGGTTAGGGGAGAAGGGAGAAGGTGTTATAAGAGATGATGTTGGGCAAAAAATCTATCATTTTCTAAAAATAAATAAATACAGAAATTTATGAAACAATTCTTAAAATACAACATATCCCCTAGTATATTTCAAAAGTTTTTTCAATATTAAACCCATTTATTTAGCACTACTACAGACCTAGTTGCCAATCTTAACAAATCTTATAATTTGTTAAAAGACAGTAGGTATAGAAAGAATAATATATTGGGGTCCAAACCATCTCTCCCCACCTGCAACCCCAAATAGTGCTTGCTTTTTTTGACATTGTGCACATAATTCACTGCTAATTTTTTTGTGAATAGATATTTGAACTATATAAACACTAAAAACACTTTCCATCATAACATTACATAAATTTATTGAAAATTTCCACTCAAAAATGAACAACAGAACTTTAAAAATGCAAGCCACTGATGCCCCTTTTTAAATGAATATAGTTCCTAAGTTACTATACTATTCAATGTTATTTAAAGAAAAGAAACGGACATAAATCACCGAGGAGCAAAGTTTAAGCCTAAATTCCCTCTATTTCTTATTAATAGATTTTATTTTCTTTAAATATCATTATAAGGAACAAAGTGTCTCTAAGATATTCAACTGTTCCTTTGTTTACATATTTTTTAGAATCTCAAGAATGCAACCTCTAACCATGGGAATGGAGATGACCCTAGTGTTCTTTGTTAATAGAAAATTATTTTGTCCATTTGACTAGTGGATCTTTTCACACCACCTACTGGCAATGTAGATGCTATTTGAATTCAGTTTTCACATCTATGGTGGGATAAGAGCTTCACTAGCAAAGTTTCAAGGGCAATTTTCAAATCTAGCCAAGTTTAATCCATGTGATTATGCAGGTCTGAGACTGCTCATTTTACAGTCTCACCTTCTGACCAGCAATTGTCTTAAACAGGTGCAGCTCATGAAAAATAATGAGACTCACTCTCTACTCTCAACTACAATATTTACAATTAGGGAAATATAGCTGCCCACCACCACTTCCTCTCTCAATCCATCCTGACATGTTTTCTAGGTACGTGTAACCTGATGATAGCAAAAATAAAAATACTGATTAAAAA